TAGTGTTTTATTTTGCAAATTAAAAAAAATCTAAAATTTGTACTACTCTATTGGAATAATTATTATTGTAATCCAGATTTCTATTAAACACTGATTACCATTTAAACCATAATCGTATTGTAATCGATTACTGAACTGTATTTCATTATTTCCCTCTCTGATGCAAGGTAAAGGAAATTGGAGAATTAATTTTGGTTAATGGTATGTTGCATTCGCCTGTAATGAAAAGCAAAATTAGATATTTTACACGTGCACAGCCTTTAATAAACAATATCTATTGCTATTAATAGCATGCAAAACGCTTCTGTGGCTAATTGCGATTTATTGCTGCTAAATACTGAATTGTTCTCAGAAATTTATAATTTATAGTTATTATCATGATACAAGTTCGATACGAACATCATCATTAAAAAGTTCGTATCGAACGTGTATCATTCAAAATTTAATCTACGACGCGACACGAGGGACGATCCAAAGAGATTTGATTTAATTTAAAATATCAGAGATATCCTCACAAAAATTAAAATTCAAAATTATCAGGTGCGCATTATTAGTTGACGCCGTGGGAATCGTGCTTGTTGATTGTTTCCATTTTGACTTTGACAACTCAATTATTGATGTTCAATTTTGTGTTAAACGTTCAGTTTTAGCAAAAACCAAAAAAAAATAATATGGGTGATTCTGATTCTGCAAGTGTCCCTTCGCATATTGAAGGCATTGCGCAAAACGTTGTCGATTTCCTACTTCCCGAAAAATCAAGACAAACGTAAAGGGAAAGGAATCAAGAACAGTAGTAACGAAAAGGTTCTCCTGGCATATTTTGATCATATTTTAAAACATAGGAAGGCTTCATCACTTTGGTATATTATTCCATGCTACGTTCAGTTATATCAGTGAGGAAAAATACAGATAGTAGTAAGTACGCCCATTTAATCGCATTTCTGAAAAGAAAATCCGAAGGATTTCGGTCAAAAAAATCGAGGATTTTAAGAAAAGAAGACATAACTCGTTTTTTGTTGGAAGCCGATGATAAAACTTATTTCCTGACAAAAGTTTCATTGATAGTGAGACTTGCGGGAGCCTGCCGGCGTATCGAGTTGACAAATCTGCAGCTGCAAAATGTTGAAGATGAAGGACAATGCATTCATGTCATTATTCCATTTACGAAAACAAAGATATCACGAGATTTTTTTTATAACGAAAGGGAATGTTGAAGGAATAAATATGGTGGAAATGGTTCGAAGATATGTAGCTATGCGATTTTTTGTGGGGTACAGAAATGGAACATGTATTAAGCAACCCGTTGGCATTAATATTTTAGGGAAAATGCCGTATAAAATAGCATTGTTCCTAAGTCTTCCAAATCCACAACAATACACTGGACATTGTTTACGCAGATCATCTGCCTCGTTGCTTGCAGATTCAGGAGTGGATTTATTAACTGTTAAAAGACATGGTGGTTGGCGCTCTAACACAGTGGCAGAGAGCTATATAGAAAATTCCAAAGGAAATAAGAAAAAAGTGTGTAATATTCTGGGTAACATTTCTGGCAATGATGGGTCTTCAACAATTTCAAGCACTCAGGAAATAAACTTATTTTCTAAAAATTCAACTCACCTGTCATCGTCTGGAATTAATTTAACCAATTGTACTGATATTATAATTAATGTTTACAATAAATAAACATATTTAGATACCTTTTTTTGCTTGTTTCTTATTTCAAAATTTGCGTGTTATTATGAATTATGAATATTATGAAAGCCATATTGACATCCAAATGACAATGTTAATTATGTCATAATGACATTGTCGTAGATTAACAAATATAAAAATCATCATCTTTTTCTCACTCTGTAGAATATGTCGCTAAACTATCCGGAAATAAGATATTTACCCGTACAATAAAGCCAGCTTCAAGAAGATTTTTCAATTTTCTGTGTCGCTTGCCAGCTAGCATATCGAAATGAACTTTACTTTTCAAGTTCGGCTCCATCTTTGAAAGAGCCCGCAGATTCGAAAAGATCATGAATAATAGTACATAATATAATATTTAACAGAGGTTACATATACACGTAGATTGGATTTTTTGCATCTATAGTCTGTCCAACGACAAGATCCTTGACAGTGATAGATGTGTCTGTCATTTTAATTTCAAAGTAGTTTATTTTATTTTACAAAGAAATAAGTTGATACAATAATTGGAATGCATAGCAGGAAATTAATACATTTAAAATTTGACTGGCGAGTCATTACTTCAAAATATTGTGAAAAAAATCTGAATAAAACTGAAAATTTGTAATCAAGTTATTTTATTTAAAAAAAACCGGCATGTGTTAATACAAAACAAACCAGAACAAAAGACCACATACCAAAAAAGTATAGAAAAAACTATTTCTTATGTACAAATACAAATTTGTAATATTCCACAGGAATAAATTAAACAACATAAATAAAACAAACTATTTTATTAATAATAACACTTACCAAATTTTATACCTTAAAGGTCGATTAATTAACTTTAATCTTAATTTTTTTAAACCAGTGCCTTTTGACATTATTTTTCTGCACCCCATTATTTACCTATCTTTTGATGTCGATATTTTACAGCTACTCTAGTTTTTAGTATATGTTTAGTACGATCCTCGTACCATATACGAGATGCACTTATCTACGATGAGATGGTATACAAACTTTATTGATGGTAACTTTATTGGTGTATAAGAATTTCTGCCTGGGCAGCGAGGATGAACTATAAACTGTGCTCGGTCTACAGTTAATTTTCCCTCGGGTTTTCCTCCACTTGACTTCAAAAGACACAAAACACGCTTCATAACACGAATCCAAATGCATCATCTTCCAAAACGTAGGGTATTTGACATAAGTTGACACAAAATTATAACCTATAATTTGGCAAGACTTTGACAAGGCGAGTTCATAGGCATCGGCGTCCGTTTGTCGTTTATCGTTCCCACAAACCAATAAAATGGAAATATGATCTGTCATTTCTGAAATAAACCAATAAAACTGGTTAAAACAACAAGAAACGACGCATGACGGATTTATATTTAAACCCATCCATAGTTAACTTAAAAAATATTAGAAACTTTTTTTAGTAAAATAAATAGATTGGTATGGGACGTCATCTGCTTTTTTTTCTGTCGTCGTCTGTCCAAATCTTACCTGAGAAAAAAAACAGAATATACTACGGTATATTCAATAATATAATTTACAAAAGTTAATTTTCACAATTTCTAAAAGCATGATATACATTTTTTTGTAAAACAAAACAAAAAAAAACCCTCTCTCAAAATAAAAGATCCTTTTTTCTTGATAATTTATTCAGATTTTACATTGTTTTCGAGTTAAACCCCATATTTTCGAGCCTATTAAAAATGAAAATTGTCGAGGTAGAACCAGAGAAAACAAAAAAGCGGGCAAATTTGCTTTTCGTCTCTCTTTCGGGACGATACTTTATGAATAATTTGTCTGATAGATTTAACATTTTAAAATTCGGCTTAGGCAAAGTAAATCTAGTTTAGAATTTACCAGGCATTATAAAGATTATTGAGAATTATTTAAATATATTGTAAAAATAGTAACACTAATTTATCCTACTAATTTCTATTTGTTATAACATATAAGTTACTTGAGAAAATTAAAAAAACATTTCCCAGCGTGATTTATATGTAAAATAACACACTAGTACATTAAATAACTATTAAATAATTCTAATTTTTAAACAAACATAACTGTAGTTATATTTTTACGCCGAATATTTACATTGGAGAATATTTGTCACAGCTTGACCGCAAATTTCGTTTTTTTTTCCAAGTGTAGCGAGCAGGAAAACAGCGGGAGCAAACAGGGGCGGGGAGGGTAAAAAAAGACGGTCCAAATGATTTATTCAAAGTTTTGTTCGCAAGATAAATCTGAAGATGAGAGCGGCGAAAAAAGCGCGAGCGTAATTTATGGTTACAGTTGCTCCGCCAGTATTATTATTATTCGTTTATGTTGGGATTTAGGTTATGTATAGTTTTGCATTACGCCGCGTGATACGTCGGGATTTATTTTTTTTGAATGGAACAAACAAGGCGTCAGCATACACAATAATATGTTTTGTTACACTTACAGAAATGCGGTGTGGTTGACAGGTTTGCCAGATTTCCCGTTTTAGGGGAGAAAGTCCAGATTTTTAAGTAGGTTGTTCTAAATTTTCCTCTTTTTCACTATCTAGCCTTAAAAAGCTTTTTTTAACTATCCATTTTACTCCGTATAGTCCTGGAACAATCATTGGAATAGCGTTCATCTTTATATCTACAGGGTTGTTGTTCACCACATACGACACGCAGTACTGTAGCTAAACGATGACATTTTTACAAATTTTAAATTTTGGGTTCGATGAAGGACTATCAGAGGTACAATTTAAAAATAATTTTACAAGATACAGAGTGTCCCAAATAAGTAAAAAATATCAAAGTTGTATTTTTTTAAACGGAACACCATGTATATTATAACATTTTTAGATTCTACGATTAAAATAAAGGTAAATTTGATTAAGGTTTATTACACTTAAACCTTACCGTTTTTTAAATATTTTCAATTTTGTGAAATTGCAGCAAAAATTTTAAGGCTTTATTTCTCCAAGGGTATCAACGTTTTTAATACTAAATATTTACTGAAGTTTATTTATTGATCAGTTATTGTGTTGCAATAATAAAAATAATGCTACCTTATACAGAGTGTCTAAAAATTTATTTTAAATAATTTCTAGCTTTAAACGCCAATAACTTCTTTAATTTAAATAGAACGCCCTGTATATTTTAGGTATATTCTTTATCTTATTACTCATAATCTTTATTGTATTTAATAATTGTTACCTATAAAAAGTAGAGGTAACTATAGCATCTTAATTCCCGTTAATAGTGTCCTAAAAGGGAATTATGACGATATAATCTTATATTAATTCAGCAAGAAATAAATAATTTTTCTCTTCTTTCTAGGGGAATGGCCATTTGGATTGATATGGTGCAACGTGTATGCCACCTGCGATGTACTGGCATGTTCCGCCTCCATCATGCACATGTGCTTTATCAGCCTAGGAAGGTACCTAGGCATAAGAAACCCCCTGAAAACCAGACACAGCACAACCACGAGAACTGTCGTACTTAGGATAGGACTTGCATGGTTGCTGTCCATGATCGTTTCCAGTTCAATAACTGTATTAGGTGAGTTAAATTCAAATGATAAGAATATTGATTGAAGAAATAAGAAGCAACCTAGAATATGGGCGATATCGTAGCACAAAACCTGTCCGAGATGTAGATGGCGTTACCGTCAGCATGTCCGAGAATTCCGAGATTTAGTTTAGTTTTGCGCCGCTGCGCGCTGATGTCGTTTACAGCGCAGCGGATAAAGAATACTGTACCGTAGTTCTGCTTTCAGTCAACAGGATGAGTGGTTGCCGGTGACAGTGTTGCCAAAACTACTGATTAATTCGTAGATTTACGGATTTTGGGTACAGTACGTAATTTAATAAACTTTTATATGATTAAGAATTAGAGAAAATAAGTGCTTTATGCGTTGACTGCAGAACAATTGGTGTTTCTACCGTACAGCACTTGAGACGTAAGGGGAAATCAAATTCTCATCATGTCTTGTCATGAACTCGTACATTAGATTGCGTATCTTCCCAATTTTTTCAATCAACGATAAGAAAAAATAAACAAAAAATTTAATCTAAAATTGCTTGCTTTTTTAATTCTGACGACACATTTGTCATTTTAATACCATATTTTTTTTTTAAAACCCTCCTCGAATGAAGCACGTGCGTGATTTTTCGAAAACTTAGCCCTGAGTGTCCGACATAAAAAGCAAGATATAGATATACCCGCGGCAAAGAGAAATGACCTCGTCACATATCTTTTTTACAGTGCCCTTCTCGCAATTTAAACGTGATCCGTATCCGCAACAGTGGGCTAATTTAAGGCATTTTCTCGTTAAATAAGGTTATAATTACAGTTAGGCCCTTTGTAGTTGTGCCGAGAGGCTCAACTCAAAAGAAACCCTTTCAGTTGGCAGTGTACAAAACTTCAAGACGTTTTATTTACTGGGTAATTGTAAAGAGTGGGAGTTAATTTTGCTATTATTGCATCTCTGCTTTTATTATACATAATACAATACAGGTCTAAACAACCTAAACACAAAACGGAAGTGCCTCAAAACGATAATAAGGCAGGCTTGTAAAGCTGAATATTCTATTTATCATAAACCTTCACGCACAGATTAGTTAATCCCAACCCTATTGAAATATACATATATTTTCCAACCTTTTGTCCTAAGGGTTGATAAGGCAAACAAGGGATTCGGCGAATAACGATAATCATAAGAAATTTTCAATGCAAATAGGTCTAAAGGCTTGATTACGGATTATTTCGATAATTGAAATTAACGTAGAAAGTGAAAATTATCTCTAACTTGTACAGTGTGAGTCAACGATAGAGATATAGAGATATAAAGTCCATTATCTCATTTGTTTCGAGGTTTACAAAAAAATATTAAATATAAAAGTTATAGGGACGGTTAAGATACACATTTTAGAATTATTTTAGAATATACAGAATGCTTCAAAAAAGTGGGGCGAATATAACATATGTTTTTTTAAATGGAACACCCTATGTTTTATTTTATTTTTAGATTCTGCGTAAAATTTCATAACTTTCTTATATAATGTGTTATACCTAAAATGAATAGTTTTTGTAATATTTAAATTTGTTTAAACAAATATTAGATTGCAGTGTGATAAAAAATTGAAAATAAAAAAAATATGTTATATCCGCCACACTTTTTTGGAGCATCTTTTATACTCCATACTAATTTTGTAGAATAGTTTATAGAATGTTTTATAGAATATAATAATAAAGTAGGTATCTTAACCTTCCCTATAACTTTTCTATTTGACATTTTTTTGTAAAACTCGAAACAAAAATGAGATAATGGTCTCTATCCTTGACTCACCCTGTACAACCGGAGTTTGTTTTATTTATTTAGATTTAGATAGTTGATTTTCAATTCCAATTCCTGCATTTTCTTTCTGTCCATAATATACAGCGGCAGCCAAATAATATCGTTATCCTGTAAGAGCCGAGTCAATTTCATTCTGACCATTGGATTTTCCCAAGAGACACGCCTGCAATCCGTTTAATCGTTTTAGCAGAGAGACAAGGGAAGAAAACTTCAAGTTTTCCAACAACGAACGGTATAATTTAACTGGAAAATCTATTAACTTAAACCGCCTTTTCTATAGCTTTTAGAATACGCCATTTTACAATTTTGTTACGGAGTTCAACGATTTGTTCCTGGGTTTTCGCTTGAGGCTCTTGATTCTCAATTATTTCTACAATCGAAATATTTTGTGAGAAAAGAGTGCACTGTGGTCGAAACGAAGTATGACCATGAAGAAGTTATAACGTATGATCGTAGAAAAAGCGTCAAAGAAGGCTACATCGTTGCGTCCCTCTTTCTTGTGTTATAACTCATCATACAGAATTCGAGCTTTGAAAAAAACCAGTATCTGAGGCGGCTTTACGGAGGTTAGTTCTCCAGTCTCGGCACACTCAGTGATTAGGTGTTCTGTTGTTTCCCCATATTTCCCCAGAAAATTTGTATTCGCCCTTCTCACTTCACTTCAATGTTAGGCATTACAAAATTATTTATTTAAACTCATATTTTGTTCTAGGTATAATTAACCACGAGAACATCATGCCTGATCCCCAAAAATGCGTCATCAACAACAGGGCTTTTTTCGTTTTTGGAAGTCTGATTGCTTTCTACATTCCCATGACGGTGATGATGATCAGCTATGCCCTCACTGTTCAACTTTTAAGAAAGAAAGCCAGGTTTGCTGCTGAACACCCAGAAAGTGACCAGATAAGAAGACTGGGAGGAAGGTTTGCCAATAAGCACGATAGAACACCAATCACCAATGATAATCCATTGTGGAGGACAGTTGGTAGTGGAGAAAGGTATGTCATGTTTTAATTAATTATGGTAAAACAATGTTATGTTTTAATTAATTATGGTATATACACATATTAGAAACAATTATTTGAAAAACATGTTTATCCCAAAGGAACATCAACATTAATTTTTGCATGATGATAGTTATATCCTACCTTTACGTAAAACTAACTCCTATCAGAACTCTTTGGGCTATAGGATCTAAAAACCTTGAAAACGAAGAAATTCTGGATATCTCAATATTTAATTTTAAGAAACATAACAAAGATGAATTTTTTACAATATTTCTCATGCTAACGCTCAATAGAACGAAAAATGCTGAGAATAACCATGAGAGATCGTAAAATAATAGAGTGGATACGACAAAAGACCCAGGTAGTAGATGTGTAATCCACACAGTCAAATCTCTCAAATGGCAATGGACAGGACACCTGGCAAGAAGAATGGACAACAGATGGACCATAAAAATTACAACATGGTACCCACGAGAAATTAAGAGACCTAGAGGAAGACCGAGCCCCTGAGATAGGACCATGATATTTAGGACATTAGCAGGGATAAGTTGAGATGGCATAACTACAAAGAGACCATAATTGGAAATGGTTGAATAAGCTGAAAATGATGATGATTAGATTAAAACTTCGCTTAATGAGACGGTATAACTATAAGATTAGGATTAAATCAAAGATTCTTTTTAGACCTTTTCTGTTGTATCCAAGACTTTGTAAATAAATAAATGACACTTTTCCAGTAAAATATAACCCGGAAAAAAGCAACAAGATTTATTAAACGAATAGCATATGATTTATGGACATTCTTCCCCGAAATCCCGACTAGAAGGCACTCTCTATTCGTTTATACCCAAACCGGAAAGTTTCTAGCAATAAACCGGCGGAATTTAAAGAGTTTGCGGTGGGAAATCGAGAAAAATAAGGCGGCATAGCGACTGGGACGGTCACGCAGCTTGGAGCTCACATAATTCCCAGCCAGAAAGTTTGCAACTCTGGGAATTTAGTGAGCGCACGCTACACTAACCGCGGGATACACGACGCAATGTATGAAATCTAGGGAAATATTTGCTTTTTTTTCGGAAGTAGGTGTTTCCGATATAATACTGTATGTATTAGATATGCCAATAATGGAACAGGAAATAAAGACCTCCATAAAACAGTAGATAACTTGATAAGTGTGCAAGTAAAGAACTTATTGGTCAACTTATTAAAAATATTCGGAAAGGAATTTAAAGAATATTTTTTTATACGTAGCTTGGGTAATCTGTAATAAACATTTTTTTTTTGTTAAAATGGATATGGTAAATAATGTTTATCGTTCAGACCCAATATTATTACAAATTCTTGCACATTTCGATTTGCGGTCTCTTGGGTTTCAGAAGAAATTTGACCATTGTTTTGGCCTTAAAATGCCTAGAAACATTATTTCACGAACTCCTCTTGTTTTTATTGATGGCACAATGACAGGTGCCTCATATCTTAGAGACGTTTTAGAGCCTATTGTGCGTCAATTTCGAGGGGCCGTGGGGGATGAATTTGTTTACATGGACGATGATGCTCCTCCCCATCGCACTTTAGCGGTTCACGAATTTTATGAGGAAGAGGGTATAAGAAAACTGTGGTGGTCACCGATGTGAATGTGATCGAGCATGCTTGGGACATGCTAAAACACCATATTGCCAAAAGGAGTGATTCCCCCCGTACCTTAAATGAATTGAAAATTGGTGCGTGCGAAACATGGGAAGCCATTCCTCAACATCTTCTGGACAACGTAATTGAGAACATGCCACGTCGTCTCACAGCTTGCATTGATGCTCGAGGAGGCAATACAGACAGTTGTGAGAAACAATTAAAATTGTTTTCAATATTTTCTGTTTAAAATGAAATTTGTTTTTTGTGGATTTTCACTCATTATAAAATAAAATTATAATAACAGCCTAGATACACTTGGATTTTTAATTTTATATTAGTTAGTCGTGTAGTAAACCAGTATGTCCAAAAATATAAATTGAATAATTTTAGGTCCAAAATAAAATAAAATTATCGTTATATGCAATAATTTTAGCCATGTGTAGTGTTGTAAATGGAAATATTGGAAATTTCCAAACGTGTCTAGGAAATATTGGAAATATTGGGAATAATGGAAATATTTTAAAAAATACTTAAATCTTGTCATTAACGATTCAAACCCGATGTTTATTAATATATCTTTCATAATTTGTAACCATATAAACATTAAACTTACTATAGAACAGTTTTACAAACATATAATATGGTGAATATATCGAGTTTGAGGATTCACCAACTTATTTGCAACCTCGCATTTCAACGGGGAAGTCCCGAGCTCGTAAGTCGTAGCGTAGTAAAAACTCGCTGGTCTTCAATTTTGACCAATTTAAAAAGTGTATACAATACTAGGCTCAGTTTAGAAGGTGTTGCGGTTAGTCAAGAAGCAACACAAATGATTGATAAAAATGTTAAGGAGTGGATATTAGATGACGAAGTATTTTGGGCCCAAATTTCCAACGTAATTAACATTTTTGAACCTATTGGCAAATGGTTAAAAGTTGTAGAAGTAGATTATAGCACTATTCATTTTGCTGTAAAAGCATTTTGTGATATTAGAACGGTAATTCAGAATAATCTTGCATTGTCCTCACGTGACGACAAAGAAAAATCCGAATTGTTGGAGTTTGTTGACAAAAAAGAAAAATTTGCTATTAAACCCATTCATTATGCTGCAGAATTACTAAATCCAAAATCACAAGGTTCTCAACTTGATGAAACCCAAATTCTTTCTACCATAGAATGCATACTTAATATATCAAAAAATAAACTCAATATAAAAGAGCAAGAAATAATAGATGAAATAGCAGATTACCGTTGTAGAAGTGACAAGTTATTTGGAAATAACTTTATATGGAAAAGTAGTTTTGATAACCCAGTCTCCTGGTGGAAAGGACTGTGTTCTTCATCTTCATTATCACAAGTAGCTTCACGAATGTTGATGATGCCAGCATCTTTGGCTGTCACGGAACGCAATTTTAGCGTTTATAGTCATATTCATTCAAAAAAGAGAAACAGGCTTACTAATGATAGAGCCGCTAAGCTAGGAAACGGCAATAGATCAATTTTTATTTCCGATACTATTGAAGATTTTGAGGAAGTAGACTGGCAAGAAGTTGTTATTGAGCGTGATGCTGATGACAGCGATAGAGATATGCCTCTTGCTCGACTAGTGTGTCAAGAATAATTTGAAGAATAATCGATATTATCTATTAATTTGAAGAATAATCTATATAATCTTTCGATTTATTATAATTTTCTTTACAGGACTTTTAGTGATTCGAATGGAGGAAATTTTCGTGAGGAATCTCCTCACGAGAGATGGCTCATGTTTTTGTGAAACATCCTGTATAGGAATAAATACGTATTACGTTATTAGGTAGTATAATTATATTAAAGCATCGTGTAAGTCACGACGTGTTGAACAATGCCGAAAGCGTACAACTATTTGCATCGGCTCATGTCCGCAAAGTTTTTAACTTTTCCCCTAAACATTTATGTTCCCATTGTCCGGTAATAACATCCCATAATATATGCATTAAAACTGGAACCGGGAAAAGTTTTGGACACGTATACGAGCATAAAACGGTTATGTTTGGCCGGTTGTTAGTATCTAGGGATGTGTTTAGCCTGGTTATTATGATGTTCCGTCGTTTGAATACATTATTGAGTTATAATAACTCACTAACATTGCTCTAACTCTCAAATAGCGGTTCATTTCTTGAAAAAAACTAATCTCCGATTTACCTTGTAAAACATTAAAAACTAGATCAAAAATTTTTCTGGTGCGTTTTTTTACATCTGACAGTATATACAAATAAAAATTTATTGTTTATGGGAAACAATTTGAAACCATCTCCTACACCAGATATAAAATAATAAATTATTTACAAATAAAACACTGCTAAATAATAAATTATTACAAAACACAGATGTAATAATACTAAATATTATGTACTATATTAAATTTATCTAAATATTATTTCACACATATAATAAATAAAATACTACTTGTAACTAACGTACTGTTACTATGTTATATTGTTGTTATAGCTGAATAAACATTAATAATAAACAAATAATATATATTTAGACATCCAAATTTATGTTTGAAGCTGCTTTTATTTATCGAACTCTCCCAGAGTCAAACCTACTGAATTTGCTTTCAAGGATCTTGTTATTGTTTAATTCCAACAATAGCAAACTGTTCTATTTGCCTTAAATGAAAAGTTTTCAATTAACCTTAGCTAAACCTTGTTCAGTTCTGAGAAAAATCCTTTGGAAAAACGATTCCTCATCTATACACAGTCATTAATCAAATACCTATAATAGAAAATTCGCAGTGAAACAATCCGGGCAGTGAAAACCCGGAAAATCATATTTCTAAAATATATTTACATGTTTTTGGATTATATTTTTATTTGTCTTAAGCTATGGTTGTAAAATATATACAGGAAAATCATGACTTACATAATCAAGACAATTATAATACAAATAAATTAACAAAAACTAAAAAGACAGGAAAATTAAAATTCACAGATAATAGTGAGGTACACAAAATAAGTAATAATATTATCCAATAATCGTGTGTCAGAATTTATACTAATATATAAAATCCTTAACGATCCTGCTCAAACCACTCAACGTAAGAAGTTCAATTTTGCATACAGGTTGACTCTAGGGTGTAGAGGTTCGATAAGAAGGGATTTTTCGAAATTCTTGTTCCAAGGGGTGAAATCACCCTCAAATATTACCAAGTTATATAATAATATCGCCATATTGTTTTTTTTCTTATGCTGACATAAATGTTGGAAAATTTTATCCAGTTTGTATGTTAAAGGAAATTCTTGCTTTGCTTTATCATCACCATTACAAATGATTAACTCGATGCGAACGAAGTCGCGGGTACACGCTAGTATTAAAATAAA